CACATTTTTCTTAACAGTGATTGTTGACCTTTTCCCTGGCTCCTCTCCATTATGGATGTTGGCTTCCAAAGACCACTGGGTAATACCTACCTCTATGTTTTCAGGAGCTCTCAGCATTTTATGTGTTGTGTAAACAGTCTTTACACTCGCCGTATGCACAGAGTTTGGATTTTGGATTGCACATCTACCATTTCCTCAATATTTTTTGTAGCTGACATGCCTTGGCTGTTTAGAGTGTTGGCCATGAACTGTAAGTTCTCATGAGTTTTACACTGACAGGTTTCTCGATCAGCTTCTGTTGGCACCACAACCCAAAATGGTCTCAAGGTGCAGAAACACGAGTAAGAGACCCGATGTTGATGCTCAGAAAGGAATTTCTGGTGCAGATTTTTCATCGTGTCAGTTAGCAAACGTTTTTGATTTTTCGTCTTCTTTTGAGTGACAGTTTGTTTTCGTCCCGTTGTCATCCGGCTGACGTCATCTCTCAAATAGAAAGCTTTTACTTTTGCTTTGCATTCAGCAGGTAATCTGTTGCTCACTTTTCTTTCAAATGTCAACAGCGCTCCATCTGGTCTTTGACCTCGCTTTTTTGAAAAGCCAAGAATTTTCTGTGCATCCCTCTGCAGCCTGTATTTCTTTATAATCTTTCCTATTGTTGTTTTAGCAATTATTTGTTTCTCTCGTTCCTTCTGGGTGTTTTTGTATTTATTTCTGATGTCTTCAATTATGGCTTCCTGCAATAACAATCTTTTTCTAATTGTGTCCTTAACTATTTGATTGCGAAGCAGGTAATTCACCCTAGACCGAGGGGATTTGTTCTACCCAGCCAAACGCTGGTCTCTCTTTTTGTATTTGTAATTGTTTCTAATTTCTCTCTTCAATGTGGCCTCTAGTTTTTCAATCTGGTTCTGGAGCCTCCTTCTCCCCCTTCTGACATTGCTCCGTCCAACAACGTATTGCCTATAACACAGGAAGGTTTTTTATTTTATTTCAAAAAGTTTATTGTCACAATTTACAATCACTGAAACACAAAATTGTTTGCTTTATCATGTAAGATAATTCAAATCCAGATACACACAATCTGCAAAGCATTTAACCCATAACTTTATTCTAACCTTGAGGGCCCTTGTTGTGCTGCATTGTCTCGACTTCGAGGTGGAGTGGTCATTACGCTGGCTCTTGCTTTATCCCTAAGCTTTTTCTTCTTTTCTTGCCACTTCTTTCTCTGTTCTCTCCTTTCTCTTTCACTGAGGTCTGACACTTTCTTTTTTTCCCCTTCTTCTCTGTCTTTCTTCCACTTTGCCTTCTCTTTATCCAGGTACTGCTGCCTTCTTTCATTGTCTGAATCCCTTCGTGCCCTGTAGCGTCGCTGCTTTTCTGCATTAGACAATGCTGCCATTTCCTGATAAATACATTCATACCATTAGATATCATATAATTTAAGACTATATATAACATATATGCATATTAAACAAACAATATATAACAGCACATGCTGGAAATAGTTAATCATCTAGCCTTTTAACAACCCCTTATTGTATGTCCACCCTGTTACTGTGAAAAATAGTAACAGGGTGGACGGTAACAGGGTGGACATTTTATGCTAAACTTGGCTATTGCTACATGTCTGATGATGATCAAGCTAGCACTTGTGACAACAGAGAAAGATATTTGATAGCTATATTCACATTTTTTTCTAAATGTAAACATTTTGATCAGTTTCCACAAAAAATGAGCATAACAGGGTGGACATGTTATGCTTTACCGCAACAGTTAAGTTAGTAAAAAACATAAAACAATTGTTGAAGGAAGAGTGCATACTTACTCTGCTTCTTGAAGATGATTTTCCCGCTCAAAATGTATCCTTCTTCTTGAGTCATACAAATAGTAGAATAGTAAAGGGGCGTGTCCAGAGGGATTCAAATCAGAGTAACAGGGGGGACATTAAAACAGGGGACACACATTTTTAAAAAACTTTCATCAATAAAAATGAATTACCATTTTTTTTTTTTATTTGGTGAGGAATATTAATAAAAGGGTTACACAACAGTGACACAAATGTAGAATTTGTTTGTATTTGTTTGATTTCTTTGTTTATATCTGTTAGAGAAGTTGAGCAAACATGATTTGGGACAGCAATTTGGCCTACTTGTGCTAAAATCAGAGTAATTATTTAGCATTTTGAATATCCTGGGAAAATAACATTGATGTTTTATAGTAGAGGGGAATAAACATGTAAAACCAAGCTTTTAAAAATAAGCATTTGACCTTTTACATGCAAAATATATGATATAATGTGTTGGGGACCTAAATGGCACTGAATGCTAGGAATGACCCGGTTAGTGTTGCCTGACTTTATAAAGTGTGTTATTTTTTTACAAGTGTGTAGTTGTGTTCTAGTCACTTTGCTCAGCGCTACTGCTTGTTACAACTTTCATTTTCAGTACTCGCCATAAACTGTTATTATGTGTTTAGAGTCGGAGAGGTCCTGATAATTTATTCCGGTAAATTACTCTGACCTACTAATTGACCTGACCGAAGTTATTGAGTCTATGTAAGTTTGCTGCTTGGCTCAGATCCACCAACGTCAGCAAGATCTCACCTCTTCCTAACCCCCCGAAGAACCAGGTTCAATTAACTGCTGTTTCAATTCAGACAACTCTTTTTTAATCTGTTTAAGGGATCCCGAAGGATTTTGATATCAGTAAATGGAGTGTGCTCCTACCTAAGTGTGTGTGGCAGGGTGCAGTCTTACCTTTTAAGCAGGAGAGGAGAGCACAGGTGTCTTTTAAGTTATCCCAGTCCAACAGGTGGGATTCAGTTTATTTGAAGAAAAATAGGTCCAAACTAATACAGGGTTTTTACCTTCTCTCTTTACAACATTATAATTATACTAAAAACCATGGTGCTGTGATCATGTTCAAATATGAAACTTTAATTCACAGTCTTACATTTATTACCAAAATGTTTAATTTCAACTGCCCAATTCAGTTGTGACATTTTAAAATTCTCCCGATAGAATTTAGAGGTATTTCCTCGTAAAAAGACCGGTGACAATAAAAAGCGCATTCAACTTTTCATTCACCAAATCAATTCACATCAGTTTCATACCTTTTTTCCGACACAGACGGCGGGTATAACATTCAAAAACCCGTTCCTATCCGCCAATATTTCGGAGGAAGATTCCTCACAGGTCGCGGGTTATAATATTCACAAACACATCTCTCATCAAATCATTCCACTCAGCCAACAACCAAGAAATTCGAGAGATATTTACCCCGTCTGGGAGGACCTTACCGAGAGCTATTTATCCAGCTCTGAAGCACAAAGCCTACCGGGAGAGAGTCTACCAGGGGAAACCCCCCCTCTCTCTCGCGCTCTCTCAAAAAACCAGTCTCTTTATGCTAAAAAAACTGGATCGAAACCCCAAAAAACAAACTCCTCCTCTACACCCAATTTGTGGAAAACTGCGCATGCCCTCTAATGTACAAGGCTGAACATGACTCGACATGTTCCATAGCTATGGCATAAGACACACCTTCCTATGTTAGTGTAAAAAGGACTTGACCCTTTTTTGAGGCCTCTGTGTTTCTCCTTAAGCCTGGAGCCCCCCTCCCTGTAAACTGCTGCCAGAGGAGAGGGAGAAAACGGCCTACTCTCTTTATCAGAGACACCCATAAATCATAGACCTTACACACTCAACCTAAACAAACCACTTTGTTTTGTTTATACTGTAACTATAGAAAAACCTAAAATATGAAGCATTTTCATTGTGGGTTATACAAAAATATAATTGATTATATTTGATTATAACTAACTTTCGTTTTAAGTATTAAACATACTATGAAAACTCACAACAATGGCTCAGGTTAATCTCCCCCCCCTTCCGACGTTAGCGTGGTTCTTGCCGGGCAGCCAAGAGGGGTCAGCTAAGAACCGGTTTTCGGTGTTTAGAGCTGGCTCCGCTGCGGCTGAAACAGGAAGAACCAGAGCTAAATCAGGCTGTAGCCCGGAACTGGCTCTGGACTCAGAACCAGAGAAGAACCAGTTAAGCACCGGAAAGCACAAGAACGGTTCTTGAACCGCAACCGGTTTGGTTTATTGCCAGTTTGCAAACCACTTAAGAGTACTGGAGTGTGAAACAAGAGCTATTGAGTCAGTGTTGTGGTGCTGTTGCTTTGGTCTGGAGCTGTGAGCTAACCACACCCCGTTCATTTGCATATAAGGAATGGAAATGTGTTATTATGAAATACAAGTCCCCTGAAATAAATAAATGTGTCATTATGAAATACAAGTCTCTTGAAATAAATAAATGTGTCATTATGAAATAAAAGTCCCATGAAATAAATAAATGTGTATTTAAATGTACATGTATACATATTTATTGCCTCATTTATTTATTTCAGAATTTATAGGCATATTTATATATATGTATTTATTTAATTATTTATTTAATTTTGGCTTGAATGGCATTCCATACATTCCTACTTCTACTTTTACTTGAGTACACAATCTGAGTACTTCGTCCATCTCTGATAATATGTGGTATTAGTACTTTTTAAAATGTAAAAGATCCAAACACATATAAAACAAACACACATATTTACACATATATGCAGTACTGTACACATTGTAGCCTACAGAGATGCACACATAAATACTGTATAGTGAACATGTTATTGGAAACTAAAGAGATGGAAGCTCAATTAAAACGTGTTTTCACAGGATCCAACCCAACTAATCAGAGGTCAGTCACACAACATTAATGATCATTAGTACCATTATTTTCAAAGGTGTTTGTCAGTGTGACTGCCTCTCATTATCATGCCTGATATGTCACTCCTGGTAGGATGTGTCCACCCAGTTAACCCCTTCTGGTCCAGGGAGTAAGCTGGTTACCATGGAGACCCACCGGCTCCTATAAAAGTGATCCTCCGCGCTCTCACCTTCGTGTGTCTCTCTCGCGAAGGAGACTCCGAGACCGGATCCAGCTCCAGCCGATGAACCGCTCTGAGGAGAACCGCAGCTCCTCCGCCTTCACCTCCACCCTGAGCCCCGCCGCGGACTCCTGCGTGGGGGTGGCCATCCTCTCCGTGGGTCCGTGAGTTCAGTATTTTATTGAAGTGTTTTTCTTCACTGATAAAACTAAATATGAATACTTCTCATTTCAAAGTTGTATTCTTTTAATAGACGATACAGGAAACCAGGAAGTAATGTTAGAGAAACTTCAGAAAAGTGCTCTCATTTAATTTAGGTTAGGATTCTTAATAATAGTCTCTGGGGTTAATTCATGGAGCCTTTTTTTTGTTTTAAGTGTAGGCCTATATTTATTTATTATACGTGTGTTTTTTGTATGAATAGCCTTTGGGGGAATCATGCAGCACTTATTTTCCCAAAAAGTGTGGATATATTATATTTTTCCAAGAAGCTTTTAAGGGATATTAATGGAGCAATTCATTTTCAAAAAGTGTGTATATATTTATTATAAGTTAGGTTTTTATATAAGAAGCATTTTGGGGAATGAGTGGAGCACTGTTTTTCAGAAGTGTGTGTCAATTTATTTATTATATGAGTGTTTTCTTGTTAATAGTCTGGGGTTAATTAATGGAGCCTTTTTTTCAAGTGTGTGTGTTTTTTGTATTAATAGCCTTTGGGGGAATCAGTACTTATTTTCCAAAAAGTGTGGATATATTAGTTAGTGTCTTATAAGAAGCTTTTAGGGGATATTAATGGAGCAATTCTTTTCACAAAATTTTATTTTTATTTTATTCGTTTATTTGGCAGGGATTGCTGTGTGGATATATTTATTATTAGTTAGGTTTTTAATGACCTTTAGGGGGCATTAATGTAGCACTTATTTTGATTTAATTAATTAATTAATTATATGTGTGTTTTTTTTATTAAAAGCCTTTGGGGAATTGATGGAGCACTTATTTTCAGAAAAGTGTGTATATATTTATTATAAGTTAGTTTTTTTGCAAGAAGCCTTTGGGGGAATCAGTGGAGTACTGTTTTTCAGAAGTGTGTGTTAATTTATTCATTATATGTGTGTTTAATTATTAATAATCTGGGGTTAATCAAGGTAATTAAGTACATTGGATTAAAATATACGCCATACATTCAACTAGTATATATAATACATACATCGCCTCACTTGTCTTCTAAATCATTTATTTTTATTGAGAAAATGTGTTAATTTCTGCTGTTAGATCATGATGTGCATGAAAAGACACAAGTACAAGTAGAAAATAGCAACTGAATTCAGTTCATTCGCTCAATAGAGAGAACCCTTGAATAAAGCTTGCCTTTCATCAGGTGTTAGTCATAACCCTAGTGCCCCTGTATATGAGAATGCACATTAACATAGAATAGTTGGCAGCAGTATTTACAGTTGCTAAGGGATATATTTTTCGGCTAATGGTGGTTGGACAAGGAGGATACATTATTGGAGTATTATCATACACACAGTAGCCTATAGCCTACTGTTAGTCACTCTTTTCCATCAGGGAGGTGAGGGATGTGTTTTTATTGGCAGCCTTTGCATCAATACCTATTTCGTGTGTGTGTGTGTGTGTGTGTGTGTGTGTGTGTGTGTGTGTGTGTGTGTGTGTGCGTGTGTGTGTGTGTGTGTGTGTGTGTGTGTGTGGTAACATGTTCCTCGTTGTCCAAGTGGCCAAAAAGTCAGTAAATGCAGTTTGTATTATGAAACGTCTTCTCCTCTTATCTCCTGTCCAGTCCTGCTCTCAGTCCTGGGCAACGGGCTGGTTCTGCTTGTTTGTTACCGCAGGAGAAACAAGTTGGTGGGCTCGGAGCTGCTGTGCGTCAACCTGGCCCTGGCCGACTTCCTGGTCTGCATCTGCTTCTACCCATTCTCCATCATATCCTCGTTCAGCCACAGCTGGCTGGGAGGAAACATCACGTGTGTGTACTACGGTCTCGGCTGCTTCTTCTGCGGCCTGTGTGGCATGTTCACGGTGGCAGCCATCAGCGTCACACGCTACATGAAGATCTGCAACAGCTTGGTTTACGGTGAGGGCAGTGAAAGGATGTGGATTTACAGGGGCCCATTTGCTTTTTTGGGTTTTCCCTTTCCTGTAGCGTTAAATAGGTTGGACCCTGCTTAGAACGCCTCCATTGGACTCCTTTGTTTACTTCCATAACATCATGAAATCAATATGTAACAGTAACGTTTCTATAGAGAGGCGAAGTCCCTCCCTTTCCGGTGGACCTCCATGGGACCTTATTTTGGAAAAATCATGTATTGAAGTCAATGGAGAGAGAAAGATTATCTTTTGATCCCGTTTGAATTGTGCAACAAATTACACGTATATGATGTTTGTCAATTTAAAAGATAATTTTGCAAGTCAAAAAAATAAAAATGTGTCGTAAAACTGTGAAGTAACACATTTTTGTGTGTGAAGCGCTCAATGAACTACAACTCTGGTCTTGCATACGTCACCAACACCAAGATGGCCGTCACGTTGGCACATTTCACCTCTTTCTTTCAGAATGAAGTGAAAAGTATTAAAATAGCTGAAAATCTATATAGTTGAGAAGTGTACATACACAAAAGGGGAGTTAGTCGGTTCCATAAGAGCCAGCATGCGGGACCGGCTTTACAAGGTTTCGGTGAGTAACACGAGTGTAATGTGCAACGTTAATGTATGCGACTCTGGGATTTGTAGTCTTTCTAGTTGCGTATTTTTCATAATCTTATATGCAGTTTTAAGACAAACTGTGACTTTTTTGACATGGAAATGATTTGTTAAGATTGACAAACATCATATGTGTAATTCAAGGCACAATTCAAACGGGATCGAAAGATACGTTTTCTCTCTCCATTGACTTCAATACATAATTTTTCAGAAATAAGGTCCCATAGAGCGGAAGTAGAAGGGTGTGACTTCGCCACTCTATAGGCTAACGGCCTGTCCACACAGCGGCGTGCGTTGACGCTTGCCGGCGGGCGTGTCTGACACTCGACCAACAACCAATCACATGAATCTCCCGCCCCTGACACACAAGCAGCGGTTTGATTGGCTAGAGCTTGTACTGGCATATGATTCGATTGGCTGACGCTTCTGCCGAGGCATCAAAAGTTGAACATTGCTCAACTTTTGCAGCGAGCCACGCCAGCAACGCTCCGCGTCGCTTCCCACGATGCAGTTCGGCTAAAAGTGACGTCACCCCATTCAAAGTGAATGGGCAGAAGCGTTGGAAGCTTCAACGCACGCCGCTGTGTGGACGGGCCGTAACGCCGTCAATTCACGGGCAACAGCTCTGGTGGACATTCCTGCTGTCAGCATGCCAATTGCAAGCTCCCTCAAAACTTGTGACATCTGTGGCATTGTGCTGTGTGATAAAACTGAACATTTTAGAGTGGCCTTTTATTGTGGCCAGCCTAAGGCACACCTGTGCAATAATCATGCTGTCTAATCAGCATCTTGATATGCCACACCTGTGAGGTGGGATGGATTATCTCGGCAAAGGAGAAGTGCTCACTATCACAGATTTCTTCAGATTTGTGAACAATATTTGAGAGAAATGGTTATTTTGTGTATATAGAAAATGTTTTAGATCTTTGAGTTCATCTCATGAAAAATGGGAGCAAAAACAAAAGTGTTGCATTTATATTTTTGTTCAGTGTAGCTCATTTTAGCTTTGCTTAGCTACTTGATTTAAATGTCTCTACAGAGTGCTGTATCAATCTCTGTGTACATGTGCTATGACGCACATGCCCAAATGCCTTATGATCTGTTTAATGCATTAAGTATAAGCATTTAATACTTATAATTCATACTCAGTGACATATTTTTAAGGATCATATTGTTTTATTATTATATTATATGTTTTTTATAATGCCACAAAATGCATTTTAATTATTATTTACATATATTAGGACAGTGATTTTTATGAAACCTCATTATACTTGACCTTATAAGTCCTTAAAATGCTTTATAATGTGTTATGATTATTGTTATTAAGTATTTATGATTGTTATATTCATACTGTGCTACAAACAGAGTAAGATGCATTGTAGACATGGGCGTCATAGAAAATGCTACCAATAATTTAATGTTTATCTCAGCGAGAGAGAAAGCAAATTTGCCAAAACGTTGAACTATTCCTTAGCAATAAAGCAGCGAGATACATTTGAGTGTATAACTGCGAGACAAGTGTTTCCCAACTAGTGGAAAGCGGTCCAAAAGCAAGTCGCGGAAAATTTCTGAATGGATCAAAAGTGACTCTTCTGACTTTTCATCACAGATGTGTGGTTTGAAAACTCTAACATCCGGCTGATGTGCTATGCCATCTGGCTGGTGGCCGTGGTGTGGTCCGGCCTCCCTCTGTTCGGATGGGGCGAGTACGTCCCCGAGCCGTACGGCCTGTCCTGCACCGTGGCCTGGAGGGGCTACCACTCCTCCACCAAGGACGCCTTCTACATCATCTGTACCTTCGCCGTCTTCACGCTGATCCCCGTCGTCCTCATCACGGTGTCTCAGTGTCTGATCCTCGCCAAGCTTAACCGCTATTCCTACTCTTTGTCTGCGAGGGGCATCCGCACCAACATGCAAGGCATCGAAAAACGACTCTCCATGGTGAGAAACTACGTTTTTTTTCTGGAACTACTTCATTGCAGTGGCTTCCTTAAATCTAAGCACCTACAACTTGGCTTAATTTAGATTTTATTAAGCTAGTTTTAGGGTTTAACTTAGTGAAGAGCACTCAATAAACAACATGGGGTTGGACTGGTTGGAAATGGATCTATTTTGCAATGGAAATATTCAATTTATATTGACGTCTATTTGTAAAATAATGGAGACACTTAACTAAATAATTGGGTCAGCAGCCAGTTGGCAATGTGAAAAAGCTAATTCACCGGAGTATTTCCATCCAGTTCCACTTTTGAAGCAAATGTTTTTATTTTTACCCGAATATATTCATTTAACAATCATAACTACTTTGTATATAAAAACACAGGATGACTTATATGCAGCACTGTATCATAAATCATTTGAATTGTATTTGTTTGTGATAAAAACATAATAATATTATTGTATAACGAGATTAAACAGCAAAAAAGGCAACGTTTCCTCATTTGCAACTGAAAATAAACATTTAAACATGTGACTGATGCTGTCACTTTTTCAGGACAGTCATAACTTACAAACATTGATTTTTATAGGCTGCTTGACCACATTAGCATTGTATCTTTTTTTCTACAGTCTCCAAGAGACCAGCTTTAAAGGATTACACCCCTAATGATTCATTATTTATTTACAGCACTAAAGTATTTCCATTGTAGTAATGTATCTTCGGTTATCTGTTACTTCCTCTTCCAGATGTTCTTCTGCGTCAGCCTGGGGTTTGTGGTTGCCTGGGCGCCATACGCTATTGTGTCCTTTCTCTTCATTTTCAAAGAGGAGCAAGTGTACATGGCTTCTGAGGGATACCTGTTTCCCGCACTCTTCTCCAAAAGCTCGCACATCTACAACCCGTTCATCTACTTCTACTTCAACCGGAAGTTTCAGCAGGAGCTCCGCCACATGCTCCATTCAATCTGGCCCAAGCTTGGAGGAAATCGAGTGAGTGTCCACGTCCCCATCGAATACCATTTTCCCATCCACATCCAGCTGCAGGAAAGAAGACGCGTCTGGAAGAAGAGCGGTGGTGTGTCTCAGGACAGAACTAACAGCAAAAGCAAGAGCAAAGAACAAGACAAATGCATCACCAACAACCAGAAGCAGGTTCAAACCTGCTGGGAATCAATGGCGAAAGAAGCCCCCAAGATTTTGGAAAATAATCCTGGAAAAGACACCAAGCCTGTGTCCTTATGAACTCACTTTCACTGTTTAAATGGGGGATTTATCTCAGAATCAGGTTTATTACCAGGTAGGTTTACACTTACGAGGAATTTGACTAGGTGTCGTGGTGCATACATAAAAGTAAAACAACAATCTAAACACAGATAGAGAACTAGAAAAAATATTAAAATAATAAAAAATATAGTTAAATATAATAGTATTTACATTGCAATGGAATCCAAAGGAATCAAAAGCAATAAAATATGGAATAAAAAAAATCGGCTGTAATAAGAAAAGAAAACGGATATTGTTGTACATTGTGTGCATTAATGTAATGCATAGAGTCTATGAGGTAAAGTGTCAGGTGGGGGGCGGGCCTTATTGATGAGCGGAGGGGAAGAAACTGTTCAGGTGGCGAGAGACACCTTTGGTTGGTTTTGACACCAACCAAAAAGCCTGGTGTTTCAGTGTATTCTCTCAAACTAGTGCTATTGCTAGAGTGAGATGCAGAGACAAAATGTATCTGTGGGTGAAGTGCTGTGTCATTCCAAATCCTTCATCTCCATTGCATTCACTGCATTTGTTCAAAGTCATTCAATTCATCCATTGAAAATTCCATTTAGATAATAATCATGTTCCAAGTGTCTTTTTTGTAAAGTGCTTATATATAAGAGTTTCTATGTGCCTATACAGTCCATCAATAATATTTTGTAGCTGTGTAGCAAAGCTTGTCCTTGGTTCTCACAGCAACTCGACTTATGGGACAAAAACGTTCTGGAAATGTCAGGTAAACTTGTTACATGCAACTATAATCTGTGTTACATAACTTTAACGTTTCTTTTCACTTGAAACTTTCCTCTCTGCTTTTATTTTCTCATCACAGAAGAGGATAATAATGTTGATAGTCGATGTACAAGTTGCAATGAAACAAAGCCATCGTTGATGTTATATCATATCTTTTTTAACAACGCTAGCAGTGAGAATCGTTCACATTGGTCAGGGCTTAATATCTCAAAAATGTTTGGATGGATTATCATGAAATGCTGAAAGGACATTCTTGTTCCCCAGGAGAAGACGAGACTGTGACTTTGGTGATCCTCTGACATTTCCTCTAATTCCACTTTGAGGCTCACGTTGATTAAAACTTCTGAACAAGTGCAAGAGGAACTGCCTTCAAAATCGGCGCTGATATCAGAGGATTATTATCAGGGACTTCGGGGATATATCTTTTTATATCACCATTTCTATTTGTCCAATGTCAGCAAGTGAATGACATTTCACTCAGCCTTAGCTGTAGTTTGTATCAGTATGTAAGCATTGCATTTGTCAGATTTGTGTTCTTGCTGGTGTTAGCATTTAGCTGAAAGTGGTGCTGTGCTTTCTGCTGCCCGAATGTCATATCAAAGGTATATTATTTCCGAGGTTTCTTTGTATATTATTGTGAATGAAATAGTTATTTTCTAGCAAGTATGAATTCTGACTTTTGAGATACATTTTAAATGAATGATTAGCTTTATGTATCTGTGAAAGTGTAGCACACATCATACCTCAACTACTAACCTCAAGTAAAAGGGACATCCTGATGTTGATATTTATATATATGGATTTACATGTATTATATATGGATGTATTTGACAAATAACTCCGGCTGTCTGTTCTAAGCTTTTGGATATTATCAGATATTTAAACTGGGAATTTGTCCTAAGTATAATAAACAGCTCAAACCAAAGACATTGTGAACCCTTGTCTTTACTGTTAATATTTCATGGTTTCAAATTGTAACATATTCTCGCATTTCTATTCAATCCACTTCTCATTCTTCATTGATTCAACAGCTGCATGAATGTAAATAAATTAAAAAGTCTCAAAGACCAGAATAACGTCTCCTATATTAACACTCAGATTGATTTAATAGCTTCATGAGTGACACGATACATTTTTCTAGCACTCTCCTTGTTTAATGAGCCCTTTGTAGTCAGTAATGGCAACAACTAGACATGAACAGAGCTATTTGAATGGTGATAACTGTCCACTTGATGATATATTTAAAATTCAAGTTACTATTTCAATACCTGTATCAAATTGAAGGCAATGCGTAGTGTAATAATGACCTGACACCTATAAAAAGCTTCTCATTAATCTTAGAATAAAGAGTTTCTTTAAGAGCTCATTGATTCACTCTAACCGCTCTCGTAGCACAGCTGCCTAGTTAGCACCAAAATAAGCCAGTTAACCTAGTTAAAGGTGTTAATTGTCACTTTGGTTACACAAGTACAATCTGAAGTATTGCCGGGCGTGTTTTTACATAGGCCTACAAGGAATTTGCTTTGGTGTATAAACGTGCATACATAAACACATTAAGAGAAATGTTAAGTATAAAGTTAAAGAGCAGTTAAAGGAATAACATCAAAACTATTGGAAACACTGATATAAAATAAAATAATCTTTTCAAGAAACATGAATATGCAAAAGAGGAAATAAAATAAGAATATGGCAAAATATTGTGAAAACACATTTACAGTTTAATTTAAAAGTGAAAGAGATGTGCAATTTCAAAAGAGTATTGTGCAGAAATGTGATTTATACAGCAGATGGATCCGTAAGGACAATGATAACAATTAAATATGACAAGACAGGTAAAATATATATAAAAAGTGTGTGTGTGTGCAAGCCCGCCTTAACCTGCCATCAGGCCCTGGGGCTGATAGGTTTTGTAGGCCCCCTATTTAAACAACAAATCAAAGTCATTTATAGCCTCGGCAGGCTCTGTGATCGCACTTCTCCACTCTGCTCTACGCGCGCCTGGTCCTCTCCTCCAGATGAGTGACGTATCGGGCCTCCCTCATGTATTTGTCCAGTTGGCGTTGGCTCCCCTCCACGTAGCAAGTCCTCGTCGTCCTCCCATCTCCTCCAACAGATAATGTCCCTCCTGTCTGTTTTTCCTCTCCCACTACTCCATCGCTATCAGAACCAGACGGCCTACTTGGCTCCGAGGCCCCGCGGCCGGCAGCGCTGCCGCTCGTTACAGAACTCATCTGTCCTTCCTCCTCATCCTGGCCTACAGGTTTAAAATAACCTGTAAGCTTTGGCATGTTTTGTAATAGCTGCTTGTCTCAAAACTCCTTTTCCCTCAACAATTTCCTTTTCCGAGCGCCGCTCTTAAACTTTTTCTTCTCCGACATTTTCTCCTAAACAACCTTCATCTGTCACTCAATCACTCGCAATTTGAATAAGTCACATGTGAAACATATTCTCATTCTGATTGGCTGTTAAGTGGTGCCCGCTGTCTGTTACGGAGTCATAATTTTTGAGAAAAATCTCTGGAATCCATCGATCTGATTTATTAGCGGAGCAAATGATCAAAATACTACGGAGGGAAGATATTTGCGTTTGGATTACTGGTCTGGGGGAAGCTCACGAGTGTGTGTGTGTTTATACGTGTGTGTGTTTGTAGAATTTTGTGTTTGTGTGTATTGTGTTTGTTTCCCGGGGAAAACACTCACGAGAAACACCGGCTGTTGTTGTGCCTGCTGTGACGTCAAGTTACTCCGTTCTCCGCTTGTATTTATACAAGCTTCAAAGTTGTATTTATCATCTGAATTTGCCGAAACAAGTTTAATATTCTGAAAGCCAAGACTTTGTTTAATTGAAATCAGATGAAAACAAACTGTAACGGACCCTGCCGTGTTATATCTATGATTACTATACACCTTACATTCATAATTTCAGCGGAGGGAGGGGAAGTGGCGCTGCGGAACAGCAGAGTGCGAGTGAGAGCTGTCATCCTCCCTTTACAAGCTTCAAAAATGTATTTATTGTGTGATTTTGGAAATAAAAGTTTCATATTCGGAAAGCCAAGACTTTGTTTATTTAAAATTTTAAAAAAACACCTGAAAAAAAAAAATTTGAATTTTTTTTTCTTTCTTTTTAAATGTATTGGCTCATGATAGGCCCCCGATCTCCGTAGGCCCCTGGGCTTCAGCCCAGGTCAGCCCGTGCATTAAGGCGATCAGATGCTAATTTGATGCTTAACTTACAGGCCTGTTTGTCAGCTCTCCGGGGGACTTCTTCTAACATGTGTGCAGGGATAATATCCACAGATCATGATTAAGACACACACACACACACACACACACACACACACACACACACACACACACACACACACACACACACACACACACACACACACACACACACACACACACAACACACACACACACACACACACACACACACACACACACACACACACACACACACACACTTTTACCTGGGTGTGTGTGTGTAACAGTAAAAAAAGCAACAGTAAAAAAGTAATCATGAAAAAGAGACTGACATTTCAATTTCAGGTGACTGAAGGTGTTATTGAGTCAGATTGTTCCTGTGAGGTCTGTAAACATGAGCAGTGAGATGTTTACCCGGGCTTTGAGTATGTGCCACACATTATGTAACCTCCTCACAAAAGGCTGCATTGATAAGTGTTTTTATTCCTCGTGCAAATCATCACAAGACTTAATTGTGAATCCCACTATGAACTTCACATGAGTTTTATCCGAAATACAACGGTAGTGATGCACACTCAACCAAATGTAACAACAAAAACATGCATGCATTGATGTGCTTTGGTTAGTGTGTACACAACTTCAACTCTGAAAAGGAAAAAGCTGCATCCGTGCACGAGAAGGCATTACAAAAAGGGATATCACTTTAATCACGTTTTACTGCCAATTAAAACACACACTCACCTCTACAAAATCCTAATCTGTCTCAAAAGTGGATCTATTAATGAAACATGTGATCTTATATTGCAGTAACAATAACTTAATAAAAGTCAGCTTTCATTTACTAGAAATCTAAGATCCAACCATTAAAACAAGCAACCTATCAAAAATGCTTTCACGCGGAGCTTTAAAAACTATAAACAATGAACTAAACAAGACTTAGGCCTCGTCCACACGGAGACGAAACGGGTGTTCTTTATCATATGGACGGTTCGTTCACACGAGGCCGTAACGGAGCCGCGGAAACGA